GAGAAGTATCCTCTTCTTGACGAAAGCTGCCTTGGCCAGTAAGTAAAATAAATTAAAAACACTAGCCTAGTGGCAAATAACAGAAAACAGGATTTTAAATATACACATGATTCATTCCGTAGTGACTTAAAGAATGCCAGGCACTTCAGAAATCACACCACAATCGTACAGTTGTATCATTTTATTAGAATCGTATCAGCCGTGAAACAAAAAATAAATGTCTGCATACATGCAGAAGCACATTCAGAAATTCATTCATGTAGCTAAGTATGCTGTCGCAGGCCAACACATGCATAGTTCTATTCTACTTAGCAGACCATTCTACATTCTGTCCAACACATGCACATACCACTTTCACTCTACTTAACTCCTCTAACCTACAGCCGAGAATCAAAACACCATGATCCATGTGGGATGCTTTCCCATTCTGACCGACTTCTTCATCAATCACGGGCTTCTGGGTTGACACCACGTGGTCTTATAGGTGGTATCACCATGATTTTCAGCATGAACCTTGAAAAGATGGAGGGGGTGTGCTCCTCTGAAATATAGGTAACCACCTACAAGATCACATGGTGTCACAACCCAGAAGACGGCGACTTATGGTGCTGTAAAAACCTCAAATCTTCACTTTACTTAAATATTAGTTGTACAACAACAGCGTTAGCTGATGAAAGAAAGTACGAGCAGGATGTGTTGCACAAAAACACAACTTTGGCTGCAAAACCTCACGATGAGATTTCCTGTTCAGTCGAGACGTAAATTGGAGGACAGTGCCACATCCTACAGTATACATAGTGCAATCAACTGTTCAATGCCATTCTTAAATACTAAATCATATTATACACAAGGCTTACATCAACTGGTTTGACTGCATAAGGATGATTAACTATATACAGCAGAGTCCTTCTAACTCCATGGAGCAAAATTCTTTTCAGAAATGAATTTCCCATCTTTTACAATACCCAAAGGTTCATTAGCTTGTTCACAAGAACCTGCAACAAATTCCAATCCTGAACCGGATGAATCAAATCCATATCTTCCAAGAAACACACTTACCTAAGATCCACTGCAATTTTCTCCTCCCACCTATGTCTTAGGATTTAAAAAATGGTCTCTTCCCTTCAGGCTTACCAACCCAAATTTTTTATGCATTCTTATCTCCCCCATGCATACTACATGCCCTGCTCATCTCATCATTAATTTGATTGCCCTAATAATGTTTGGTTGAGAGAGTAATATCTTTTCCTATGATTCATACTAACGGACAAGATGCAGAAAATCTGCTGAGGACCCCCCCCATGATCGCCAGATTTAACCTCACCTGACTTTCTCTTGTGGGGTTACTTGAAGAATGTGGCGTACAGCATAAAGCCAGCAACACTTTAAGAGCTCTGGCAAGAAACTGAAGTCTTGCACAGCAGTAACTTTGATGGCCGCTTGTCATAAATTGTTCACCACTGTCAAGTGTGCCATGAATCTAATGGTGGTCATTTTGAACACCAACACTACATTCACCAAGCGCCAATGCTAATGTTTTTCTTTAATAAAATGTCTTTATTTCATTCACTGAATATATGCATACTTCTTTCTAGGACATTCTGTAGGATGGACACGACTTCCTAATTTGGCATTAATTTTATGCATTCTGTGCAAAGATTATACAAAATCCCAATACATACACTGCATCAACAGCCTATGTTAAGCTATGGGTATGTGCAGGATAAAATAGACACTGAATACCAATAAAAACATTTTAACCCCCTCCCTCCTCTTTCCCGTTGTACTGCAGCTATATTAATAGAGTATGGAACTGAATTGTACATCAAGTGACTATCTGAAACCATGCATTCATCCATGGTAACAGTGCGCCAATTGGTATGTTGCAATTCTTTTTAATTCATACACCAAACAAGTGGCATTTCCATTCGCATCTGGAAAGTGGCAGTCAAGACTTATTTCAAAATATGCTAACTTTGCCTTGAGAAACTGAGGAATATGAAAAGAAACTGGTAAATCAGCTAAGATTCAAACCAATATTACCACTACACGCATCTCCATGGTTATAAAGATAGGTATTGTTAGGAATTTTTATGAATTAAGAACTGAATTAAGTTGGTCCCTTGTCACAACAGAACAGTGCATCCTCAGGTTGCAGATGGAGAAGACTGCCTCCAAATATGGAGGGCAACTGTGAACTCATCACAGTACAAACCAGAACTTTACAAAATGTTACACAGGGAGATGTGGTATAAACATGAGAATAATATTAAAGTGTACCTTAAACAGTGGCATGTGACAGTGAATAGGGTCCAGTGGCAGGATCTTGTCAACAAGATAATAAAATTTTAAATTATGGAGCATATAATCTGTTATTTCAGTGCATATCTCACTTAGGGGAAATGAGAAAAAAAATATAGCAAATTATGTTCATGGAGTCTGAACTTTTATATCTATATTTAGATTTCTTCTACTAACAAGAAAACTAAACTACACATATCCCATATTGTTGAATCACAGATTATTTGGTTTATGGACTGTCTACACACATTTATTTTCATTACAAAATTTTTAATAATCTTGAATTCACCGAAGGTTTCTAAAACTGTACACAAATAACTGTGAGGTTCCTCTCATTTCTCTCTCCCACCCTTCCTCTTGTGTTTCTACCCCATTCCGTTCCACGATACTCTTTCAGGATGCAGTAAGTTATGAGGTGGTACGTACTTAATGTCCTCCCTCCCCCAAAAATCTACACAGTTCTGCTTATACTGTAACTGCTAAAATTATGAAGACGCCTGTCTTCTGGGTTGTTGTGCCATGTAGTACTTATATTAATGTGGTGATTATAATTTTAGCAAGGGTCACCATGCTGTTTTGGCTGGGTTGCCTTGATCCTCTTCAATAAACTGAAATTTCCCACACAACAGATTTTTAACAAGTGATGTGATGGGTGGATGGAAAATTTCTGCGACACATTAACACTGAACGAATAGGAGTACTGAAGACAGGAAAGAGAAGGAAGATGTTACTTGACAGGTAAGGCATGGGGACAAGGACAACGACCTGAGGGTGCATAAGACATGCATTTGAAGTAATGGCCAAAATAAATATTCACAAGTCTCCTGTCATTTTTATTGATAACCTTCAAACTGCAGTAATGGTGGTCATAGTGTTTTAAGGAAGTCTTGCTGGGATCTCCTGGTCCAGTCAGCAAATACTCTTCTCATATCGACTGATTTACAATTACAGCAATAATCGTAGTTACGGAATTAGGAAATTTTCACTTTTCTTATCAGAATTTTTATGAACAAGTTATAGCCTACTTTCTTGGTCAATGTGTTCTAGATTAACTCCATCACACTGATTAATTGTGACCGTCTGCACACCAATTCAAAACCTGAACGTATAATAATTTAACTTAAATTAGGAATTGGTATTTTCTCCATGCCAGATCTGATGGCTATACTGACAAGACTCGATCACAAAACCCCCATTGCGAAGAAGCAGCATGTGAAGCTGCAGCTGTCGTCATGGTACTAGAGGCTTTATACATAACCTAACCTAACCTAACCTAACCCTTTGAGTTATTTAGATATAGGCAGCAGGAAGCATATATAAATGCAAGCATGTTCCTGCAATCTGCAATTCTTTTACATTAACAAAATATTTGTCACACAGTAGTACATAATACATAGAATTCACCGTAGTTACGTTGCAGGATTAATGTTATTAGTAAGTAGGGAAATGAACATAAAAAAAGGAATGAATAGTGAAATATATATTACATGGTGGAACACAGTTCTTCATATGTAACAGCAAATATAAAAGTTACATTATGTTTCACTATAAAAATATAAATCAAAATATTTATATATTTGTACTCCAAACAACAATTAAATCCAGGCCTATAATTACAAATTCTTCTTTGTATCAACGTCCGATGCAAATAAATTAAAACCAGTACGACTTCAGGTTCTCATGGCCGTCAGTATGAAGATGGCTGCCTTCTGGGTTGCTGCACTGCATAGTCTGGTAGAAGTTTACCAACGATTCAGATGTGCTTCCTGCCTCCACCATCAGGGTGATTACTCATCGCCCGAATGATGGAAGCAGCAAATACCTCGAAAACATTGATAAACTTCTACCAGACTATGCAGTGCAGCAACCCAGAAGGCAGCCATCTCCTTTAAAACTGTACATTTGAATGACCTGAGCCATGTATTTCTTTAATAGACTGTGAAAGCTATTTAGGTTATTGATGTAGTTCAAAAAAACAAAGAATTACAAAAATATAACACAATTATTCCAGAAAACATGCTATCTCCTATACTTTGTTGTAAGGTAATTTTTTTCATTACAGTTTGTGTAAGTACCCAAATTTTTGGTAACACAATACACTACTGTTTTACCCAAAATATAAGGAACTTCCAAGTCTAAGATGATTATTTCAAATGTGATGTTAATGATTGGCTTAATACATACTTCGGCAGTGCTGTTAATATATGTACTGAACAATTCGATGTGCGCCTTGTTCGTAAGTCGATAAAACAGGAATAAAGTTTGAAAAGTTGTATCTTTTTACAACTGCTGCCCCATACAAGGTACTAATCACAGTTGTATTTGGTCCACTGTTGGCATGGACATGAGTCCCTCCTCACACACAAAAATATGTGAAATGTGATCACGCATTTGGGAACACAGTTCCACAGGACACATTTAAAGACAACAATATTCAAGCAGGTGCAAAGATAAAAATCAATGTGACAGATGTCCAGACACACAAACCCTGCAACTGGAGGAGACACAGAGCAGAATCTCATTCAAAGATGATGGAGGCAGCAAGGACCACTGAAATGCTGGTAAACTTCACCCAGACCACATGGCGCTACAACCCAGGAGACAGCCAACTTCTGCCATGAAAACCTCAAATCCTACAAAGACGTACCTAATACACGTGCATCAATGAAACTGGCATCAAAAATCAATCTCTCTAAGTATGCAAAGAGCATCTGTGCCTTTTATCCATGAAAAAGAAAGTAGCCCAGCGAGCGATCACTATCATTTTCTGCTGAAGACCTGTCCAGCAGGTGCTCAGTATGCTACTGATGATATACGTATATCCTCTGTACAAGGATAATGTCATTTCTATGTTGCTAATGCATTAGACTTAGTAGACAAGATCAATTTCCTTCGAATGTCTGAAAAATAATGGAAGTACAGAGTGACTTCAATAACTTTGCTGATCAGAAAGCAAATAAGTCTAATTACTTTATAGAACTCTTGGTATCAGACACGTCCTTCATTGATATTTACAGTTCAAGTTTTGCCTGACTAATCTAAAATATCAACAATTCGGGAGAGAAATACAAAGTTTTTTCTCACTTAAAACCGAAAGGGGCTGGATGATACGTGTACTTTGGGCACAAATGGACTTAGCGTACTAGCACCTGGTCATGATAACAGGTTAGTTCAAAGAATGGCAGTGGAAACTTAAATACTCTGAGAAAAATATGTCCAGTATTTGAAGATGGCTGTATTCCGGTCTTCTGGGTTGTAGCGCTGCGTAGTCTGGTAGACCAACATATCGAGAGGTCCTTAGTGCCTCCACATCAGGGCAATTACAGAGGCAGCAAGGACTTCTAAAATGTTTGTAAACTTCTATCAGACTACACGATGCTACAACCCAGAAGACAGCCATCTTCGGACTCACTACTCTCAAAATGTCAAATCCTACTTTCCAGTGTTTCTTTTCCCCCCATAATAAATTCTACATGAAATGGGATTGAAACAGGGCATCTGATGTGAAAATTTTCTCTCTGTAAAAGATTATAAAAGTATCTTATGCAAGAAGATACCGAACTAAAACTACTGAACCTCCTCTTGCATTTTCTTTCTTTTTATGAAGAACAATTCAGCGTGATTTTAAGTTTTTCTTTTTTTATTAACCCTCAAAGCCAAATATAGTCTACAAAATATTTAATAATTCAGTCCCTACCACAAAATACACACAACACCTCCATTATAAGGATCACTTGATTAATGTTGTTCAGGGAAATAATTGCTACTCATCATGAGAACCATACTAAACCTATAAATATAAAACATTTTTACCCAAGTACATTTCACACGACAAGAAATTTTTTGACAGAGTGAGGATAGTCAACAAATTGATATACAAATCAGTCATGTAATACAACAACTGCAAAATCACACTACATTTCATGCCAATGGTAAACAAGGTAAAATGACAAGAATACGCAAAAATAAACGTGCATCACGACATACTACTGCCTTTCAAATTACTATAAGCCCACAGCAGCATTCTGAATTCTTACCTGTATAGAATGTAGTGTTGAATGATGAAAAATATATCAAACACAACAGAGAACAAGCCCAGTCCAAATTTGGTTGGATCACCAAATATTGATTCCCAATCATCTAGAAATAATATCAGAACCAGATATTATAGCTTGTTAAATTCGACCGCATAATTAAACCAATATCTCAGTAAGAAATAGTCTTACCTTGTCAACCTAAATTAACATTCCCCTGCCACTCACTTTATGACACACAATATTTTTTGAATAGTCAACTGTATAGTTGGCTTCTCAAAGAACAGCCCACTTTCTTAATTGAACCCAAAGGTCCATCACCGTGTGCACAAAAGCTTGCCACTGGATTCTATCCTGAGCCAGCGCATCCAGTTCGCTGCATCGATTCCTATCTCCCAAAGGTATATCTTAATGTTATCCTCCCACCTATGTCTAGGTCCTCCCAGCGGTCTCCTCCCTTCAGGCCTCCCAACCAAGACCTTGTAAACTCCCTTCCATCCCCCTTGCGTGCCGCATGTCCCACTCACCTCATCCTCCTAGATTTAATCAACCTAACAACATCAGGTGATGAGTACAGGCCGTAAAGGTCAACATCATGCAGCATTCTCCATGATCTGTCTCCCCCCCTTTTAGATCCAAACATCTTCCTCAACACTCCGTTCTCGAAGAAACTCAATCTATGTTCGTCACTCAAAGTGAGAGACCATGTTTCGCACCCATATAGCACAACTGGCAAAATTTACACTTTTTAATATTTTAATGTCTCCTGTCACTGGAAGAAAATATTTCTTTGAGCATACACCGCATATGTCACAAACTCTCTCTTCCATGATACAACAGAAAAGAGTTAAAACACATCTCTTGACGGACATGGTAAGAAACGTCCAGAAGGAAAGGGGGTTTAAGGGGAACTATGGTCCAAACTGAGGGAAAAGGTTATTTCTGGAAAATGATTAAGAACTGAAGTACCTCATTTGGCAACAACAATCCAAAATGTTATACTGTCAATGAATTCAATAAGTAAAATGACTGTAAAGAATCTATCCTTCTTAAACAAAAGTAGAGAACTGTCATTAATATGCTGGATAAAAATATGATCAGTCTGACAAGATTCATTATAAACGTTTCTCCAGCATCATCTTGGGAAATCGCTTATGACGTTAAATTTTCGTTGAAAACAAATACAAACACTGTAATGCAATACGTAACTTACTGTAGTTGTGGGCATTGAGGATCATCTGCAGCATACTGAGAATTCCACCAGTAAAATCAAGAAAGATGTTGCCTATACTCCACCCCACTGTACTTTTCCTTTTGTAGTTCATGTAGGCCTACAAATGTTAAACAATATTAGATACATGTACTCTACAGAGTACACAAAGTTCAAAAAACAAATATACGCTGATTGAATAAAAATTTTCTAGGATATTATCCATCGTCTAGTAAATATAAAACGTAAAACGACGTTTCGAAGATGGGACTCTATCTCCGTCTTCAGGTTCCTACACAGTTGGGCCCACTAGATAGAGCTAATCCCTATCTCCGTTTTACATTTTTTACGTTTTATATTTACTAGACGATGGATAATATCCAAGAAAATTTTTATTCAATTGACTCTTCACCATCGTCAAGAAGTTTTAGATTTGATAAATATACGCTGTTTCAACATAAGCACTTTGGAGCACATTGCTTCACATGCTAGCTACCCCCACTCTGTTTCGAGGCGTGCTGTCGCAGATGGCCAGCATTCAGGAAATGGTGAAGTCACAGCTGCCGCGCAAATATTTGTGTTCTTTCTACAATATTCTTCTGTCTTATACAATGCTGTTGTTATAGACCACACTTTCCCAAACTTACAACGCCCCCCTTAAAATGCGGCTGGAGTCGAGAGACGCGGCCTTTCAGTCAGTGGAGTTAGATAAGGATGGAGCACCGAGCAAATTACGGGCAAGAAACTGACAAAGGAGTCGTAAAGCCGAGTGAAACAGACAGTTCAGTAAAGTAATTACTAAGACATACAGAAGAGAACATTTGTATCCAAATAATATTTGTGACGTTACAAACATTAATCAAGGGAAAAACCAAATGTACTTGTAATAGCATGAAAAATAAACACATCTTGTGCCATATAAGATTTTTTTCGAGTTTTATGTACATTTCATCGTATTCATTTCAGCCAATTTTTCACTTGGTAAACTAGTTTTAAAGGTTTCTGCAACAGCACTTCACTGCATGATTGGTTACTTTTCAGCTGATAAATCTTACAGTCTTACCTGTGGTATATATTTGATTAGTGTGATGGCGAGTTTCACGTAAGAACAGTATGTCAAGAAATCGAGCCATTTAATAACTTCTGCCCATGCTAGTATCAAGGAAACAGCCACAACTGCAGCAAAAAGCACGTGAAATCCTCGCGCTGTCCACGACACTCTTTGACTTCCGCGCTGAAATTAGTGAAAACATTAAAACTGACACTACACAACACGATTCTCTCAACTGAAACAATTTAATATGCAGAAATAAAATTAAACAGATCTGACATAAATGAGAAGTAGCAGAAACAGATTTCACAGTGAAATTTTAGGTTCTTATAGTGGTCTAGCGGTTAGAACGCTGGCCTTATAATCCTGGGGTCTCGGGTTCGATTCCCGGCGGTGCCCGAATTTATAACTTGTGTTGGGCAAGGCCGTGGTCTAGGTAACACGGAGTTTTCCTCCGTGGCATCCCAACAATTACTCCATTCACACACAGAAGAAGGCAATGGCAAACCATTTCTGGATCATCTGCCAAGAACGTATATGAACAGGTCCCAGTCCGAGAAAAGGATGGAAGGATCTTGTTCATATGGACCTGTCGTCAGACAGAACACTAGATAATAATAGTGGAGAGTATAAAGATGGCTGTCTTCTGACTCGCCGTCAAACACTACCAACAACTGTTGCAAAAATTATTCATACAACAATGTATCAGTGAATAACATCAGTATGTATAGTCGGCGCAGTAGTTTTTGGCCAGCGGAATTTTCAAGGCGAAGGCTAGGAGCGAGTCACTAGTGCGATAGTATAATGCTGACTGCACCGAGGAGCTTATCGGACTGAACGCCCAAACAAAAGAAATACACTGACCGTGCCACCGCAGGTACACAGAGTAGGCCCTTCCGCCAGCTTCTCCACTGGCCAAAAATTACTGCGCTAACTATAACAGTTATTGCTGTGCATGTTGTGTGTATCGTTAGATATAGTTCAATAAACTGTTAAACAGCACAGTTTTCCAAATGAATCATATGTGAAACGAAGATTCTGCAAGGCAGTGCAGGAGAAAATTTTGTCACAAATTTCCCAGAATCACTTTTCCAAACACAACAAGCATCCATGAACTTATTAATAAAGGAAACCTGCTAAAAATAAAACGGCGTCTTCACCGAAGAAAAATTACGCAAAATACAGGCTAGGTTAGAACAAACCACAGAAATCACTGAGATGCTTTGCGCAAGAGACCATTGCCTTGAAATCATCAGCAGTCAAAGCAGCAAATTTCAACCTGCCAGTACACAGAGAGAGCGACGGAGTACGCGTACAGGAACATCATTTTCAGCATTTCTTATGATACAGATGAGTCAAGTTTATTGTTCTTATGGAGCAATTCTTGACTTGCATCGGGAAAATTTCATAGTGCTTGGCTGTGTGTCGTGCAGTTCCTGCCAGGAACCAGGATGACAGTGTTGTGTGTAACCATGCCAGTGGATTCACTGCATTCGTCTTCATTCTTATTACGCTGTGGCCAATTCTTTCGGCAATCTTAAATTTCACTGATAACACTTTAAGCATCTAAAATTTTTCTACATAAAGCTAAGAGAACTTTTTTTTTCTTCAGATATGCGATGCTGTGTTGCACTGCCAACTGTTTTTTTAAAAAAAATATTAAACCTCATGAAATTTGTTCGAAGCTACGTCATTTTTCTATAATAAAGATCTATGTTATTTGTTCACTTTACCATATCTGAGTACCAGCACTTTACACATCAGACAAACAAAACACCGGCAACATCGCCTCTAAAACAGCTTACCTCATATACAAAGCACTGAATAATGGTGATCACAGTAGCAACAGAGGCATGAAGAGAGAACACAACGTCATTAACTTGAACAGGATTCAATCCTGTCGGATACCTGCGCATATATTCCTCCTAAGAAAGAAATAAATATGTTACATTTGTTACATAAGCTCCTAAAAGGTCCTAACATTTGAAATACCCAACCACATAACTCTGAAGAGCAAAGTTCTTTTTCTTAAGAAGTAAACAGTGGCTCGTGAAGTGCAAACCATCTTAAATCTTCCTAATGACATATTCTAAGATGAAATTTAAAAGCAATTGTGATAAGGCATTTCTATGTTTCATTAAGATAGTTTTTTTGAAAATTAATTATGATTTTAAAATTCTCTGTCATTTATTGCCATACGGCCACATAGCGATCACTTTGTAAAAGCTATAATAAAGTAAAAACATTTTGTAAGATGCAATTCCTATACAGAATAATATAAATAAGCAAATTCATTATTTGAGTATATAGCCGATTAACTGTTCAGAAAATAATCGCTCTGTAGAAACAAAGTATTTAACATATGAAACATACAATTCTCCTTTTTTTTGGAGAAAAAATATTATAGAGAATCAAACTTACCTCTATTTCTGTAATCCAATAGAGACCACAGTTGAAAAGGGAATATAACACAAATCCAACAATATTTAATGACAAGAAGTCAAAATTAAGTCCCACAACACTGAAAATAAGAATTAAATAATTACACACGTCTTCACCCAAGGTCACTGGCTGCTTACATCACTAATGAGATGGGAACACGCATCCTCCCCCTTGTCTCAGTACCAAAAAATATTAATTTTCGTAATTTCATTCGGCATTGAAACTATGTTACACGTATATTTTTGAAGTATCCTTTTACATCACAGACTAATAATGTCATATTTTGACACAAATTAAGTTTAAAAGTAGTACAGAGATGTAATGTTATGAATCACTATTAAATGTTTCGTAAACATGCTAGAAAAGTGTTCCGATGCACCCAAACATTAAGTGTACAAATTAGGGCAGAGGAACTGAGAGGAAGATTTTGACTATCTGGGAATGACAAAATTTTCAGCAAAGATGGCGCCATGGTCCGGGGTTTCTGGCCAAAGATCAATACTGCAATTGGACCATCCACCATATTCGGCCCTGTGCAACTTTTAGCTATTCCAAAAACAGAAGACCACTTCAGGGGCCACAGTTTTCAGACATTGGCAACATTCAGAAACATGCAACAACCATCCCGAAGGGCATTCCAGAAATGTTTTGAGTAGTGGAAACACTGACTCAGTAAGTGTACTGGTACGCACGGAGATTACTTTGAAGATGACAGCAACCATTACTGTGTAAGTAATTAAATACAGATTTTATGACAGCATTCTGGTAACTTAGCTGTCACACTTCGTAGTCTCCCAATAACAAATTTCGTAAGACCTCAATCAGCAATTCTCAAGTAAGTTACATACAGATGTAAAGACACAGCGAGGTAACGTTAACAATTTTTCAACTTTTTATTGTAAACGTTCCTGAAAATCTCTGGCACTGCCAAAAACTGTACCCCCGTCCTCCTGAATGTACGTAGCCTACCACTTCATGGACTGACAATCCCCATCTCACAGGCACATCTACTTGTGGTTGATTGATGTAACTGATTATCAGAAGAACAAATGCACACGCACATGTGTGTTTATGTGCGCAAATGTACGTGTGAGAGACTACACATAAACTTTATGTGGATCTGATCACCAAACATAAAGAAATAAGACATATTAGTTGGCCTAGCCCAGGCTTTTTGAAACGGTTACCTTTTTCTCTTCCAGTTTTCATATATCTGCGGATAGAAGGATATCGACCAGGCCACAAAGTAGATCCAACCAATTACAGCGCTCGCGTGGAAAATGGCATCATCATGTTCTACAGTCACTCTTACAAATTTTGCATCCAGTGTTCTGAAAATACAAGCAAACATAAGAAACCGCACTTCACTGGTGGATTAAAAAATTAAATCCGTGGCTTAACAGCTCCATAGAGCCAAAGCCGACTAGCTTGACTGCTGGCCTCACGTTCACATGCCTAAGCAGAGGTGAATGATCATCCAACCAGATACAGGGTGATGTGTGGTCAGCACGACGAACCCCCAGCCATTGCTAGTTTTCAGGACCGGATTACACTACTCATTGTAGCTCCCCAATTTCCTCACGATGCTGGGTTGGCACTGGTCCCATACACTGGTCGAAAGCTCATGAGAAAATATCTTCTCACCCGAGACTCAAACCAGCGCGCATTCCGTATCGCCGGTCCAAAGCATGATGCCTCAGACAGCGCAGCTAAGGCGCGGGACCTTCACTGGTGGATACTTTAGTATTTTACATCAAAATTATAACCCTGGAGAACTAATTAATTAATCTGCTACAGCAATCTAAGGTTGATTTTATGTAAATGTGTCTTCCTTACTGTAGCCATGTAGACCCGATTCAAAATTTGCCATCTTTTTTATGAGGATCGTATTTACGTTTTATATAAAATCAAGGGAACAGACCCCTTTGCAGAACAACGTGAGAATAATATTAAAGTATCTTAAGATACTAGAGATCACGGTAGTGACGATGTCAATAGTAATCATCTGGGTTGTTACATCTTGCAGTCTTATCACACTGCACAGTATCACAATGACAGATCACTAACAAAGCATTAAAATGGATCTTAAGAAAAAAGACAGTGAAAGTACTGACTTAAGTGACGTGGATAGGGACCAGCGACATGCTCCTGTGAGCACAGTAATAAACCTCGGTTTTTCGGAAAAGGGGAGGAACTTCTTGATGCCTGGTGACTACCAGGTTCTCAAAGTGAACTGTGCTCCATGCAGTTGGTCCATTTAGACCAGCGTTCCACGTTATCTCACCCACAGCACACCCTAATTTGACATCGGCAAATGATAGCAAACCACAAAATTTTGCGTCATGAAAAATGCATATGAAACTATACAAGCCCATAAATACTTACCTTACAAGAACGCGGGTACATGAAAACAAAACATTACACACACTGAATAAAACTATTGATGATGAACCTGTGCGCGCGCGTGCACATGTGTGTGTACTATGAATTCTAATTATGAAAATAGTGACTTATCCTAACTATAACATGTGAATATGAAATTTCTCATACACATTTCTAAAGGTGTTCTTCAAGCCTCATCACGTAGGCTGTGATCCATCATCATTAATGCATCTTGGGTTATTCTTGTGCTGTCATTCCAGGTTATTCAGGATGACAACCTCCACAGAACAAACAACCCTTTGCAATGCAGGCCGAGTACCCTCAATAACAACAATTACCACTGACCACAGAGACTGAGTACTCACAAGGAAATAACAGACCATCAGTCATGCAGGTTGACTATCTTTATAGGAATAATTATCGCAACTCCAAGCACGCAAGATGAGCACCCCTGTAATCTTGAGGGGTGAGAAAATGGGGTGAAGGAGGAAAGATACCGTCAGCATTTAACGCTTCGGACTTCCTGCATTCCATGCAAGTCTCAAGATTACAGTCGCGTACTACAGGTCGAGTACTCCCACAGGAAATATGACCCCCAGCCATGTACAGTGAAGACCTTGTAAGAATACTGGCCCCCACTCATGAAGGCTGAGTACCCCCGTGAAAAATGCAACAGAAACACGTACAGGAATGTGTATAAAGAACACCTACGAAGCCACCTTTCGAAATTAATGCTCTTTCAGCATGTTTAAATACACGATGCTAACTACAAGTTTCAGATCACTATAAGCTAAACTACAGGCCATGAGCAGCTGATAAACTATCATAAATAACACCAGATGGAGAGTGGCGCGTTTTCAAGTTCCAATGATAAACTGAACCACAGAGAGTTGAAGATTTAAAGAGAAATTACGAAAAACAATTCCAATACTAATCACATCTTGTGCTGAAGATGTTTACGGAACGTGTAACAAGAAAACTTTGGGATAATTACGAACTAGTTACGTGAATGGACACGTAACATTTCATACCTGTTATCCAAAGAATTTACGAGACTGAAGTTGATAACTGCGTGTCCAGCATCTACTGCAGACACTGTGACATTCCAGCTCTGAACAAAAGGGTCTATGTGGATGACTTGTTTATTTGTTTCAATTAAGTCTCCGTTATTGATGGAGATATTTATATAGCCACTCACATTCTCCTGCCTGCAACAAGAAAATAATAAATTTATATAACAAATTATCTTAAAAACTTTTAACCCTTACAATTGTTTTAAATGCTTCCATCTATTCAGTGAGGACCAGAGAACTAACAAATTAATAAGAAAACAATTGCCTTAAATTTTTATCTAATAGAAATATGCAATATATGAAAGTTGTGAGACCTTACACCAAATTTGTAATTAACAAAAGAAAGATTTCCGTCTTCTGGTTTGTTGCGCTGTGTAGTCTGGTCGATGTTTACCAACGTTTCAGAGGTCATACTGCCTCCGTCATCAGAGTATGAAGATTTCTGTCTTCTGGGTTGTTGCGCTGCGTAGTCTGGTCGATGTTAACCAACGTTTCAGAGGTCATACTGCCTCTGTCATCAGGGCGATGAATATAATGGTTAATATCGACCAGACTACACAGCGCAACAACCCAGAAGACGGAAATCTTCATACTCACCGCTGTGAAAACCTCAAGTCTTACATAACAAAAGAAAGTTTCACACTATCTACACAAGCCTCATGTTTGGAATATACCACAGCATCTCCTGTAAGGCAGGTAATCAAACTTCACTCTACAACGTTGGTGTAGTCTCACTATCACCACA